TTTATTTATTTATTTATTTTTGGCAGAACCAGGGATTGAACTCAGACTCTTGTGCTTGCCAGGGAAGCGCTTATTCCACTGATCCATCTCCCCGGCCCCATAAACCAGGTATTTTAACCTTTTAGCTTTATTACCATGTCATAAACTATTCAGTCTTCCCTCAGTTTAATGGTAAATATTCACAGCTTACCAATGACTTTTGATTCCATACTTAAAAGTATACATTTCACATTGGAAATTAAACAATTTTAATTTTAATCTAGTTTCATTTCCCAAAACAAAAGAGGTATAAAGAGAAACAAGTGAATCTTAGCAGTTGTCTAAGACAAAAATAAATAAGAAATAAAACAGCATAATCATGTGGTTAAAGCGATGGGTAATAGCATTTGGGGTAGGGCAGTACTTTTTAATTATGAATCTACAAGTAGATTATATGAAATAATGAAATTATGTAATAATAACAATAATAATTGGTTCCTCACAACCATAACATCCTATGGTGCTTACTTTGGAGAGACTGACAGTGGTGAAAAGTACCTTTCCAATATAGTAAATCCCACAAATAAAGTAAGTCAAAAAAATAAATCCTACCAAACAGAATAAAATCTGGAACAGTCTTTACCACAAGACATCAGAATGAACCTGACTGTTTCACTGGCTTGCTGTTTACTTGCTTGCTAAGAACAAGAGATCTAACCATAGACAAGATCCCTAGAGACTTGGCCATATAATGATTCTAAGGGGGAAAAAAACTAGACATTTTATCATTTAACAGGACAAAAGCTTCATGAGTTTGTAATTCCAAAGGTGGAATTAAGAATCTGTGGAATCTTTGATGTCAGTCTCACTATGGATTCAAAGCATAGATTTGTGAGGTATAAGACAGAAAGCCCAGGGCTGGGGAGATGGCTCAGTAGAATAAGCACTTGCCTGGAAAGTGCAAGAGCCTGAGTTCAATCCCCAGTTCCACTAAAAATCAAAAAAAAAAGACACAAAGCCCATGGTAATTTGCTAAACCTCTGGGAGTCTGTGCTTTCTCAAGCTAAGGAGGATAAATACCATTTACCGTACATAGTTGCATAGAGATGTATTTATTTACAATTTACTGCATAGAGATATAAATTAAATAATAAAGAGCTCCTATCACAGTACCCACATAAAATCAGTGCATTCCTACATCTGCCTTTTTCCTGTACTCATTGAAAATAAGTAATGGCACCGATCAGTCATTCTTTCCTCAATAGAGAAAGAAGGAAAATCATTTGTCATTGTATCACTTTGAGAAAAGTTTGCTAAGTGGCTGTTGCAATTTCAGCTAGGCTTTGGTGGACTTCCTGAGCAAGAATTTTTCCACTTAGTATTTATGTATTACACCAGCATTCTTTCAGCACCTCCGATGTGTTACTGCTTGTTCGAGGCTCAAAGGATCCCATGAAGAGCAGAACAGACAAGGCCCCTCTGTTCTGAAATTTAAAACCTACTCTGGCTCTCAGAATCATCTTAGAAATGATATAGAAAAAGTCTTCTTCCATTTGACATATGAATTCTGGGCTCTAGAAAGCTCACTTGCTCCTGCTTCAGAAGAAAAGAACACTTGTAGAAGTTGACTTTTACCAACATGTGTTGTCAGTAAGACATCAGCAGGGTACACGGAAGAGTCTAAATTTAAAGGTAGCTAAATCTTGACTCTTACTCATTACAGACATACCTACAGGCAAATAGATAAACCAGTTGTCTTCAATTTCATTATGAGGTGATTAACCTGTAGACACACATGGGACCTTATGGGATAATATCTGTAGTAACCATTAAAGAAGTGTAAGGAGTAGAAACAGAATTACTTTTATGTGAGCATTACTTTTCTTTGCACTGATTGGAAGAAAATGAGCCAATTTAAGGTTATTGACTCACAAAAAGAAACCTGTAGGACAAATAAATTCATCTCGATGCAGCTATGTGCAGTGAATTGTAAATAACTATAATCTTCCTCTTGTGCATAACATGCCTTTGCTAAAAGTAATCAATTTTTTCTCGCTCAAGTAAGGGAAGGGTTCATGAATGTCCTTTTGGCACTACAGAGTCTGTATGAAGAATAATCTTAATGCATGAACTGAACCAGGGGATTTATCAGATATGTTTTCTTAGTGGAAGCAAGCATATTGTTTGATATATTTTTGTAGTTTAAATAAAATATAACAGATGGAATATTTGAAATATACCTACTTTTGTATAAGTAATTCTGGGTGGATATTAATATCGTTATCAAATATTTTGTGATCTTTTATTAGTTATGTCCTATTTATTTCAAACTTGTTAACATTTTCTATAGTCACTGAACTCTACTCTCCTTTACCCAATGACTTTACTACTTTTTCTCCCTTTTGTTAATCTGAAATCTCCTTCTCAATGTCCTAAGGATACAGTATGGGTATGTATGTGCATGTGTGTTCTCTTAATGGTTTTCCTAAGAGAACATTAGTAGTTCTTAATCTTTGCTGGCATATTGAAACTTTCTAGGAAGCATTTAAGTTTTTAAAATCTACAAATGATAATATTTCTGGTCTGGTTATACCTGAGCAGTGGCAATTTTGTAAGTTTCCATGAAAAAAATTAGAGGTTAAGAATCACTATATTAGAACAAGGAGACCTTAATTTGTTTTCTGTCCTACATGTATGCTGAATATTTTGGCTCAACAGCTGGCTTGAAAATAAATTAACTTGAAGATTATTTCTGAATTCTTCCATTTATGGAATGTTTCACTGAATAGCTATTGCTACTGATTTTAATAAGATCCATGTGGTCCTTTCCTAATTTTTTAATTCTGGGGTGGATATATTTATTAAGCTGAACCATCTCAGAAAAAATATTTAAGTCTCTGAAATAAGGTTGAGAAACATGGACTCTACCAAGTCATGTAGTAAAGGAAGGAAAATGTAAAATCTTTTTTCTGAGTTCATGAAAGTAATGTTTCAGATAATCTGGAAGAAGAAGTTGAGTTCAAAATTTTCTGCCTCATGAACTCTCAGATTTTTTTTTGGTCTGGTCAGAATCCATTTCCACTGCAGGACTCAGAATATGTGTTCAGTTTACAACAGCCATCCGAATTGCTACCTCTTACTAATATACTTATATATTATCTATTAGAATATATTACATTTACATA